GGTTCTGTTCTTTCATTAGCCTACAAATGCCATTGCCATTGTGCACAGATAAAGAGGAAATATAATGTGTCTATTGCAGCAAAAATGAGGAAAAACTGAGCAGCAATGAGCCATTGAGACTGTAGAATGAGTTCTAAACAATTAAATTCAAGTTTATTTGTATAGCGCTTTTCACAATACAAATTATTGCAAAGCAGCTTTACAGAACATTATGTTTCTACAATATATTAGAAGTAGCCTAGCTTGTCAGTGATGACTGTCAAATTGATGTACATATGGCAGAAATTGGCATCATCTCTTCTCAGGTGTTCGGTCATCTCAGGTCTTTGTAAGGGCTGGATCCAGCTTGTGTAATTCCTATACGCAGAAACAAATTGACAGAGCTGCTGTTCCAACCAAGCAAAAATTATTTGTTCAACCCAAGCTAAGGAATAATAATGTGCATTTGATCAGATATAACTGCAGTACAAGATTATGAGATCCATTATTTGAATGCTTGACCAAAGACGTGTGTCTTTAATCTAGATTTAAAGGTATCATATGATGCGATTTCAAGTTTGCCTTTCTCTTTGGAGTGTTACAAGCTGTTCGTGAATAGATAAGATCCCTAAAGTTGCAAAGACTAAAGTCTCAAACCCAAAGAGATATTTTTTATAAAAGTTAAGACTCGTCCACGCCCTCCTAAAACGCCTCGTTCAAACACGCCCCCACATGTCTACGTCACTGTGTGGGAAGATTTGCATAACGCCGCCCAAATGTTCACGCAAAGAAAGAAAGCGTATCTTTATTGTTGCTGCCACCGTCGCCGCCATGTTGTGAAGACGCTGTGTGTTTCGTTGCAAAAGCGAAAACACTTTGTTTGGCCTTCCAAAAGAGGACACGACTAGAAATCAGTGGTTAAGTTGTATTTACAACACTGTTCCAGAGCAGTTCAACCCAAATATTCAGATGTTTGCATCGCATTTTATGGAGGACTGTTTCCTGATCCTGGAGACTACAATGCCGGCTGTTCTGACTCACAGACTTGTAGCGACTCAGCTCATGGGAAATATGAATAATTAACCATAACTAGTTATAATTAATTATGAATATTTTAGATCCGCTGTAGATATTTAGCTGACCTCTCAGGGTCAACTGTCTTGTCAATTCTAAGAACGTTAATTTCCTGGTTAAGGGAAATAACTTCCTTACTGTACAATTCTACAAAAGCTTGTAGCATAAATCTGCATGATTAAGTGACTCCAGTTATGAGCAAACAATGAACCACGTCAAGTGTGATACAAGTAAGGTTTTATTAACTACATAAACACTTAAACTAGTCTAACAGA